CATAAGCCAATAGACTTGGGCATTCCAACCTGATAGTTGTGGGCCAAGAGTATTCCATCCCGAGAATGATTGGACTCTTAGTATGTGGGCATTCCAACCCGACGGTTGTGGGCTGAGGGTATACCATCCCTAGGATGATTGGACCCATAGTATGTTGGCATTCCAACCCAATGGTTGAGGGCCTGGGGCATTCCAACCCGATGGTTGATTAGGCCCATAGTATTTTTTTATTATATATGTGATATATGTTGTGCGGGTATTTTGGGGGGGAACTCACTAAGCTTCCGGCTTACAGTTGTTGATTTTGTTTCAGGTACTTCTGACGATCGCGGGAAGGCGAAGGCGTCATCGTGCACCTCCTCATGTTTTTATGATTTGATTTCTGGGATACTCTGACATGAAACTATTTTGAAAACAATTTGTAATAATTATTTGGTTTTGAATGATTTAAAAAGTTTTAAATTGGCTTGAATTTTAAGGGTGTTACACAGAATGGCGTAAATAAATCGGTTGAATTTTGGCTAACGTCACTAAAAGGAAAATCGTAGTACTTTGAGAGATAATAACTTTAAAAAGAAAATGGTAAAAAACAGAGTTCGTATAAGGAATATACGATTTTTAGAAAAATATAAAATACAAGTTAAAAATAAAAGTTAAAATTTGGCAATGCAACCTTAAGGAAAGTTGTAGTGCTAGTAGAGAGCTACACAAAAATATAAAGAGGGTAAGAAACAAGATTCATATACGGAAGATGTTAATGTATCCCATAGGAAAAAAGTTAAAGAAGAAAATTCAAACTAGCGTCAAGCTTGGCCTAGTTAGAGTCTGGTCATACCCAGTCTGAGGCCAAGGCCGGGCCTCAGACTGCTTGGACTCACTGGTATGGCGGTTCAGAGGCAGAACTGCGCCTTACCCTCTTCTCCCCAGGAGAAATACCTCGGAAAACATGGAGCCAATCAGGGAGCTCCACTTACCTATTTGACGACACCCACGATCATCATTGTATTGAAGATTCCCCTCTAACCAATGGGGGAACGATATAGAAAGACGTGATGAAGGATCCTTAATTACGGATCCGCCACTTCTCGTCTCACGAGGGAAGGCTCAACAGAATCAGTTATGAGCCATGTGCCTCTCGATCAAGTTTAAAAGAACCCTTCTCCCCCACGGAGAAAGGGGACTGGACTCTTTTTCTCTCAGATATTCTCTATCTTCTTTCATAATCAATTCTAACTTGATCGTCGGAGCTTCGTCCTGGGAACCACTCTCGGACGTTGTCTAACGATCATCTCTTCTCTTTGTACTGTGATATCAGGAGAAGGAACCAGCTCGACACCCATCCTTGATCTCAATCCTACCATCTCCGACATATCACAACAAAAGATATCAATTTTTATAAAAGATTTAGAGTTGCACGCCAAGTACGCGGTATACTCGACGCACACGTCTGAACCCCAGATTCTTCGAGATTGGAGAGACGTGGACCATCAGAAGTGTGACACGTGGCAAACCCTAGATGGAGCCATGATTCATGTGCACGTCGCGTGTGAAGTGTGTCGCGCGCATAAGCACTATAAATAGAGGTGCCCACTTTCTAGTTTCATCACACCAAACTCTCTCTCTCTCTCTCTCTATCTATCTATCTCTATCTATCTATCTATCTATCTATCTATCTATCTATCTATCTATCTATCTATCTATCTCTCATGATCTATTTCGGAAGCCCTCCCAATGGCACCAAGCTTTGGGTGTAGTAGCAAGGATGCTTCAGATTATGCTACTAGAGTGAGTTCACGGCCCCATTTTACTATTTTAAAAGTTTTACCGGGGGGGGGGGGGGGGGGGAATAGATGTTTATCAAACTGTTTTATCAAAATATATTTGTATCTATAAATATCAATCATTATATAAAGCATGAAACCTGAGGATAATGTAGCTATAGATATTATACCTAGTTGTAAGCTATGAAATTATGCTAAGAGTTATGATGTCTGATAGTCTACGAAAAGATATTACCTAGATGTTATGATGACCAATTTCCTAGGATAACATAGTACCTAGAAGTAATGCTGGTTAAGTATAGGGATATACGTTGTACCTAATCGTTACTCTGCACAAATAAATAATTTTCAAATTAACCATAATTAGGATATATCTGTGTGGCAAACAATATATATATATATATATATATATATATATATATATATATATATATATATATATATATATATATATATATATATATACACACACACAAAATAATTATGAGATCTAAAAGTATAATAATCAAATATAAAATAAAAGATTTATTTTATGATAGTTATAGAATATCACTAAGAAAGAAAAGATAAAAGATAAAAATTATCTAAGGTTAATGCGTTAGTGAGCTGTTATTATTCATCCTCAGCCTTATTAAATTCGGTTACCTCGAACCTATAATCATTAATCTTGCAAGTGCGAGAAAGATATGTATAGATCTATACTGGGTTTGACACCCCCACCTGCGATTGCTAGCTACAATCCCTACATCATAACTTTCTTATCACTCACTATTCGACATCTTATGAAGCGTTGTGCGAGGAAATTACTAGTCAAACAATGTCGATTATGGGGGCTCATGTTAATACATTAGAACCACCTTAGAGATCCGACTACCAAGAGGGACGCCTTAGAGTGGTAGATAAAATACGTTAGAATTAATAAAATATCCTAAAAGATAATAAGATAGGATCGGTAAATATCCTACAAATATAGTAAATTAGGATATCCTAAAAGATAATAAGATAGGATTGATAAAGTATCCTATAATAAGAAAGGACTGATAAAGTATCCTATAAAGATAATAAATTAGGATTAGTACAATATCCTAAAAATATAACAAGATAAAAGCAATTAAGTATTCTACAAAGATAAGATAGGATTAAATTACCGGATAAAAGGAAATTTTAAAAAAGATAATATAATAAAGCATACGAAACAAGGAAATAAATAAAATGGTCATGATCATTGTAATAATTCCTAAAAAGTTTTTCAAAAGAGTTTATGTTTATCTCAAAACCCGTTGACTCACCAACATCAAGTTGACGTTTCCAAAAATCGTATGTATTCCTAAGATGGAGAAAGGATCAAGGCAAGGAAGGACATTCGGCTTGAAGATAGATATGTTTTATTTATTCCATGTAATAAATGACATTGGTTTACTAAAAATGTAGTTTTCGTTTGCACTCTGTGATTTGGGTAATCTATGTAAATACCGTCACCACTCGGCATTTTCGCCAACGGTCGGGGAAGGTTTGACACTCTTCAATACTTGGTAATTACTATACCCGACATCGCATATGATGTAAACAAAGCTTCACACTTTTGTGAGGAATCGATTGATAAACATTAGGTTGCGGTCAAACGAATAGTATGTTATCTTAAAGGCATATATTCACATGGACTTGTGATATGCAATTCTACATGCACGTGTAAAAATGGATATTCTGATGCAGATTGGGTCGGTTGTCTCGATGAACGCCGATCTACAAATGCTTATTGTGTTTTCTTTGTCCAAATCTTATTAGTTACAGTTCCAAGAAACAAAACACGGTTGCAAGATCTAGTATGAAAGTTGGGTATCGTTCTCTTGTGCATACCGTTGCAGATTAGATGGTTTATTTCTATACTTCGTGAATTCAAGTTTTCATTATCTCGTTCAACAACACTTTGGTGTATAATATTGGTGCTATGTATCTTGCAACAAATCACATTTTTCATCAAAGATGTAAACATATCGAGATAGATGTACATTTTGTTCGTAATATATTTTTAAACAACACTTTTGTGGTTTGATGCATGTGTTCATACAGACTCTCAACTTGCATATATTCTTACAAAAGGTTTGCCGGCCTTGCATTTCAACTATTTCATACCAAGCTTTTGATTCTTCCCAATGATACACTTGAGGGGGATGTTAACATAGAGATTTGGTTAGTTAGTTAGAGATGGCTAATAGCTAAGAGACAATTAGTAGTTAACCCAATCATAGTTAAGTTTGAACTATAGTTAGCTGTACATTTGAGTGCTTTATACCCCTCAGAGGCTGAATCATATTGTCAAGAAATATTAAAGGAACATTACATAAATCTCTCTCTCTCTCTCTCTCTCTCTCTCTCTCTCTCTCTCTCTCTCTCTCTCTCTCTCTCTCTCTCTCTCTCTCTCTCTCTCTCTCTCTCTCTCTCTCTCTCTCTCTCTCATTTACTTATGGGCACTAGTTAGCATGTCAAGCTATAGTAGTTGGTATCTCAATGAGATGAGATCTAGCTACTGATAGTGGTGGTTAGTTGCTGATACTCGTTTATAAATAGGAGTGAATTATATCTACATAATATAGATGAAAGGTTGTAATTCCGCAAAAGAGAATTTAATAATACTTCTCTTCCTGAATACGAATATATGCCTGATCATCTTCTACACTTTCTAACAACAAAAAACTAATTAGATTTATCGGCTAATCCAAAACTCGAACCTAAAAACGAGTTACGTGAACCCTTTGTTGTTTTTTGGGTGATGTAACTGATAGAGCGACTAATGAGCCGAAAGCAACTTCTTTAATACAAGAGTGGGGACACTGCTGTCTGTTGGTGCATGCTGTTTTTATATGATTGCTAGCGTTCTCATATGGTGTTTTCATCAGCATTTTCATATATTGTCCGGGTCTCTTCTTGCCTCAGGAGGAAACTATCTTTTTTTTGTTGTTTTGAAGGGAAGACCAAATCTATTTTCCACCTACCTTTATATTTCAATGCTCAAATAAAAGACTTCCAGTAATCTTGGATCATTCCATGGTCTCCAGCTGAAGGTTAGTTTATCTCATAATTATTACATAACGAAACATGTAATCTGCTATCCTTTTTTGTGTATAAAGAAACTTGTACGTACTTCATGACAGGCTGGATTCAGTGTTTAAAAATGGAACTCTTAGCATTTCGATATTATTGGTGAGGTTTGTTTCTCTGATGGACTGGAACTTGAATACTCCTTCAGAATGGGACTGGGAAAACTTAGCCATGTACAGCAGCAAGGAGATTGAAGTTGCCAAGAATTTGCAATTTTCCAGCCATGAAAGCCAAGAAAATGTCGTCGTCCATAATGTGGACTTCTCCTTCTCAGCTTCTGCAGATTCTTCGTCTAAAGAGACAATCAAGAGTACTTTTAGAGGGTTTGATGATTTACCAAGAGATTTCTTAGAGAAGGATGATTCTTCTTGGATAGGGGAGAATGGGAGCTTCTCTAACATGGTAGAAGAAGCATCAGTGTTATCCGGTGAAGCCATGATTGGTTTAAAGCTTGGAAGGCATGCAAGCACTTCTAGCAGTAGTAGCAAGACGGCTACAACATCTGTCTCCTTGTTTCCGACGTCGTCTCCCATGATAAAGAGATCTAGAGCATCTTACCTAAGTTCTCAGTCCCCACGTTGTCAAGTCGAAGGATGCAACCTTGACCTTTCATCTTCCAAGGACTACCATCGCCGGCATAGGATCTGTGCAAATCATTCCAAAAGCCCAAAAGTCATTGTAGCTGGGATGGAACGTCGATTTTGTCAACAATGTAGCAGGAAAGTTACATTCATCAATCAAGTTATTCACATATTTACTTCTAAAAACTAAATAATAAATCGATCTATATGATGATGATCTTGCAGGTTCCATGATCTGTCAGAGTTTGATGATAGAAAACGAAGCTGTCGTCGACGCCTTTCTGCACACAATGCAAGGCGGCGCAGGCCACAGTCAGAAGAGATCCAATTCAGCTCCACACGGTTGTCCTCTTCAATGTCATCTGGTATTCCTCGAAACCAGAAAAAAATAATTTCGACTAATCTCTACCACATTTCTAGTAGCACCAATTTTCATTAACTTTGGACTTCGCACAAATGATGAATGTAAGATTTGTTTCATTCATCTTCACTCAGATCTTTCGACATTGTTGTTCTAACTTACAGATAGAAGGCCGCAGATGAATTTCCTTCTAAATAGGGCTTCAATACCTCGTCGTGATTCAGCACCACCTGAAAGTTCTTGCGACTTTAAAGGGGAAGAGTCTTTCCTGGGTCTTGCAAAAAGTGGAGGGGTTGATGTCTTGCCACCCAATGGTGCCTTACACTTCGGTTCTGAGAGATTTATGCCTAGGAGCATGAGTCATAATGGTATGTACGCAACTTATGAACATAGATGAATTGTTGTCATTAATTAGAACCTTTGAATATGAAGCATACCATTAAGATCCAGTTCCGTATTGTAATAATGACTTGTTGCCAGTAATATGAGTCTGAATCGGCGGTTTTCTCGCAAACTTTTTCAGATTTCTGGCTTTCACCTTTTTTTCTGGAAAAAAATATATGATTTTTTACCATATGTTTCAGTTTCACAGACCTCTGGTACTATCTTGTTGGGCAATCTAATCTTGAACTAACAACTTTCTTCACTAATAATCATTTAATTACATGAGATGGAAGTATGGGATTACTAATTAATGAGAGAAGGGACAAAATGTTATTCCTACTTACGGAAATAATGCCAAGCTTTCTATTTTGGATTGTTCTAAAACATGCAATTATAATATTTCCTTCATCCAGAAGTTCAAATCCATGATTATTTATTTCCTCACTACACGAAAGATCGAGCTTCATCCACGTGGGTTGTTGAGTTCCGTGTATCACTTAATTACATGATGAATATGATGATGAACTGTTTTTTCCTTGGTAAACTGTAACAGGTATCGATACAACTCCTAATTCCATGCTATCTGGAGATGCCAGGCATGCTTTCTCTCTTCTGTCAACAAGTTCTTGGCCTTCCAACTGGCCTGAAGAAGCTTCATCATTTGATCAATTTGGGCAATCAAACAGTATCAGCTTGTCACAGCCGGGAATGCCTTTGGAACTGCAAAATACTACCAACACCACTCAACTCCAAACCTTTCATTCATTTAGATCACCTCGTGAATTTGAACGGTTTTATTCAAACTGAAACTGATCTTGATTTCTCCATGCGTCTACCACCAAGTATTCAGTCATAGAATCAATAATCCTTCTTATATATAAGGGAAATTATCTGCACACTTGATCTAAGCTGGTCCCATAGTACGTAGATCGAAATTTTGAGTAGCATTACAGTACATAGTCTATATATTCTGAACCCCATTTATAACTCCTTCAAAATGAAATTCCACTTCATAGGCCTAACTCTTGATCTTGCAAGAATAACAGAAAGCTTGAAAATATCTTTGAACTTAGTACACGTGTGGGATCGCTTTCAAAGGCATGGAGGATCCAAATGATCTCGCTATGTGCATTCAAGGGAAGAATGGAACACTTCTCCTCTTTCTGCAGAACAAATTAAAATATATACCAAAAGCCTTATATATCTATCCCTCATTAAGTGGAAATTGAAGAAAAAGGCATTCAAGAACATTTGTTGCGGCAAAGTTTATTCCTTTTTATTGATCACTTTAGCAGCAAGCTTTTGCCAGTGAATCATTTCTCTGAATCAGTGGTTCGCAGGTAAATCAAGTATTCCCCTCTAGATGTTGATTGGTAGTTCCAGTTCTCTTCCAAGTGGAAATAGTATACTTTTTTGGAGATGGGGATGATTTAGGAATTTAACTTCTAGTATCCTATGGTTTAATTTGCTTGATATTAATAAGTTGTGATCTTGCTTTGGTTTTTCTGTAGATTTTAAACTTATTTTCAGTTTACATTTGCACTTGAGATATTTAATGGTTGCTTCCGGTTCATTTTGTGTCCTTTGGTTAGTTTATGTTGCAGTTCTTGTCTAGGAATGTGTTTCATACTTTCACTCTTTCTTTCTTGGATGCATTTACTATAGGGTACCGTGTAATGATGATTGTAGCTACTTTTTGTTACTTTGATGATAATGTAGTGTTTTTGGTTTGGCCGTGGCTATATCTCCATTTTTTGTTTTTTTTGTTTATGTTTCTTCTTCTTTCCATATAAATCACTTGTGTATTTTCTTTTTAATTAACTTTTTTGTCTTCCTTAAAAAATGTTTCTAAGGACATGATAGGTTTAGACACCATTTGATAGACATCTTTTCAGGTCTAAACATATCTTTTTGGCTGAATACACTGAAAAGACTGTTTGATTTGCACAAAAAAAAAAAATTTCCCGGTAAGATATGTCTTTCCCAGAAAGCCACAAAATCATATCTTTCTGGCTGAGGGGCCGAAAAAACAATTATGCCCCAAAACTCGCATCTTTCTTTCTTTGATTATAATTTTTTTTAAATAATATTTTTTTAATTTCTTTTTTATTGAATTATTAATTTTTTACTAGATTATTATATATTAATAAATTTTATTTATAATATATAATATTTATATATTAATAAATATTATCTTATTGGATTATTAATTTCTTTTAGTTAATTTTTTTAATTCATTTTTATTGGATTAGTTTTTTTTTTTTTTTGAAGAATACCACCACCATCCTAATTTATTTTAAAAAATCTCATCCATCCCACCAGTATCAGACATAAACCAGGTTAAGAATCACACGTTGGGTTATAAAAAAAAGTAAAATGGCTAGAAAAAATAACAATGTAACATCAACTTGAAACACAATAAACTAAAAACAACCTAATCGACATTCTATTTAGATTTTAATTGATTTATGTTTAATTACTTTGTATCACAACTTGTATTTGGATTTTTAAATGGTTATTGTGTAATTTTGATTTTGTATGACAATTTGTATGTTTTTATAATCATTCAGCAACTTCATCCATCACAGCATAAAACAACAGGGTAATATGAACATTTTTCATTATTTAGCACAATCAGTCAAATGTACAAAGTACAATCAAACAACATGGTTTTTTTCCCAGTCGGAAAACTTTCTTAGACATCACTTTCCCAGACATCAACTATAAAACGAGGCCTTAGTGTATCTGCTTGTGTTTGGCCCGGCTAGTTTCTTCTACAAGATGATGGTGACGATAGTGTCCTTTTCCCCTTTGTTAGTGGAATGACTGTTTTATTTACAAGAGATTGAGTTGTCAACATTACCAAGTTGATCGACAATAGTCTTGAGTCGTTTGCAAATGTTGGAAAACTTTTGAGAGGAGTCGTGTTGAACATTTCTTCAAAGTACACAAAACATGTGTTTTTGTTGTCATGGAAGATTTTCTCAAGACGAGTTCAAATTTACTTACTGAGTAGTGCCATTGGGTTTCATGAACGTTTCTAGTAAGTCTCTATATCAAATGAATATAGGTGATAAAAGATAATGGAATCGGTTGATTTTCATTCCATGGGAAAGGTAATTTACAATACAATTTATGAACTAAGAATATACAGAGTGGACTTGGAAGGAAGCTCGGCAGTTGACGTGGACTCATCGCACACCACGGCTCGTGTTCGGCAGTGTAACTCGACACCCCTCTTCTGAGTCTCTTTCCTACTTCACTTCTCCTTTCCCATTTCTTCTCGCCAACACGACAATCCACCCCCTCTCCTCTCCCTCTCTTCTTCCATATTTTCCTCTTCCTTATTGGGAGCTGAGGTGGAGCTCGGTGATCTTAACACCACTCCTCTCAGCCTACTGAAACATAACTATGTAATACAAATATATATATATATATATATATATATATATATATATATATATATATATATATATATGTTCAATTAAAAAAATAAAAAAGGTTGAGAATGAGAGAATCATTCTCAGTCACTCATTTGTTTTTGCCGCAAAAGCCTCCATCTTAACGGCTGAAATGGGAAATGAATAAACGTGTGTTTTCCAACAAAACATGTTTCCTTAAAGTATGTTAATCATTACCTTAATATATACAAAAACATAGTTTTTTCGTTTTTTAAATTTTTAAGGAGTTATTTTTATCGAAAAATGATTTTAAATATATCAAAATTCATAATTTTTTATTCTTTATAAATAGACATCCATATTGATATAGTTTTCAGATAAAATAAAAAAAAAATATTTTTTTATAGTTTGAGCTATCGTTATTCATAAGTGAATAAAAATGAATCATATTTTTACTACAGTACATTCGTTATTCGCTTATAAATAAAAAGTATGATTAATTTTTTTTACAGTTTAGGTATCATTCATATATGAATATAACATATAATAAACTCTTTATAGTTTACATCAACTCTCGTCACATGTCATATTTACAAACGAATAAAACATGTATTAGTTTTTCTCACAAGTTATATTCATATGCGAAGAACACATTTATCATAATTTTGTTTCAGTTCATTTGTTATTCATATATGAATAAGTAGTTCAAATTTTCAAAATACTTCGTCTTTTATTAACATACTAATTCATATATGAATAACAAATGAACTATAACAAAAATCTGATAAATATTTTATTCATATATGAATATCACATATGACGACAACTAATACACGTTTTATTTATATAAAAATATAACATGTGATCAAAGATGATGTAAAAAATATATTTTAGGTTAGAAAATTTTATTACATGTTATAATCATATATGAATGATAATTAAACAGTAAAAAAATTAAGCATACGTTTTATTCATAAATGAATAACGAATGTACTGTAATAAAAATATAATGCGTTTTTATTCACTTATGAATAACGAAAGCTGAAACTCTAAAAAATTAATTTTTTTATTTTATCTTAAAACTATATCAATATAGTTGTCTATTTATAGAGAATAAAAAATTATGAATTTTGATAAATTTAAAATCATTTTTTGTTAAAAATAGCTTTCTAAAAATCAAAAAAACAAAAAAAAATGTTTTTGTATATATTAAGGTAATGATTAGCATAATTTAAGGAAACATGTTTGGTTGGAAACACATGTGTATCCGTTACCCATTTCCATTGGTACGCCTAAGTATTTTGCGGCAAAATAAATGTATGGATGAGAATTATTCCCTCATTTTCAACCTTTTTTTCTCAATTGAACCCTCATATATATATCTATATAGTATATATATTATATATATATATATTATATATATATATATATATATATATATATATATATATATTAGTTTTTTAAACCTTCATCCTATCAAATTTACACTGTGAATCTGTACAATCCATAATCATGTTTTAGCATTCACATTGTGAATTTGACTTAGTATTATTCGTACTATGAATCTGAACTGTATATAATTTAGTTTTCAACATTCACAATGTCAATCTGACTTACTATCTATGGCCAACTCTTCATCAAAAGAGTGTAGAATAATATCTATGGCCAACTCTTCATCAAAATTAACATTCAATTTAAGCAAGTGGTCCACATATCTCTGCATCTTTTGCAAGTGGGCCGTGATGGGTTCACCATCCTTCATTTTGGTTGTGATCATGGAGGCAATGATCTCATACCTCTCCTTCCGAGCACTTTGATGGTATCTTTCCATCAAATCATGATACATTTTATAAGGGTAGTAGTCCTCATAGGACTTCTGAAGCTCAGCAGTTATGGTAGCGATCATAAGACACGACACCTTTGTCGCATCCCTCTCATGAGTAGTGTGTTCAACGATTTGTTCGGGAGTAGCAGTGGTGACATCAATCTCTTTGAGCTCTTTATCTATGACATATTCTTTGTCCTCATAGCGATTAGCCATCCTGATGTTTCGAATCCAGTCATTGAAGTTCGAGCCATCAAAAATGACCCTCCCACATAGGTTCATGAGGGAGAAAGAGCGTGAAGGGATTGGGTTGGAAGCATTGTTTGGGATAGACATCTGTAAAAGAAGAAGAACAAAGTTTAGATTAGATGATAATCCTTAATATTACACCCAAATGAAATATTAAGGCTAGGACCCAACACAATATTCTACAATTACGAAAAGGGATGTCGTGATCCAATTTTAAAAATATTTGAAGGTAGGTAAATGATGATTTACCAATTTCCACCATGAAAAACGAAATAGATTATTATGTTTTAATTGGATTTTGAAATTCCTAGATCTTTGAGATTCATTGAACTTTTCAATGGCATGTTTAAATATCAATTGCTCCCTTCAAGTTTGTGACTGGGATGCCGAGGATCACAAACAAGGAGTGAATAACCATGCAAATTAGCTTGGTACACCAAATGTTACAAATCACCTAATCAATGTGCCGGTTAACCACACACGCTCCATTGATCTATGACTAACACCAAGTTACCCTTTTCCACACATTGTTAGTCCCAGATTAGTGTGTCGGTTAACCACACACGCTCCACTAACGACTTAACAAGGTGCAAAGTGTAATTTCATGGATTAGCACCATTTCACATTTTTC